CTTTGTAAAATCTTTTAGATTTTTTTGAAATATGTTTTCAAAAATTAGTTAATTGAAATTTAAATTAAAAGAAAATATAATTAACAGAATTATTCACTTTTGGTTTATAACAATATTATGTAAAATAATTTTAATAGTATCCTAAAAATTTGCTTCTCTATTATGTATATGCAACTTAATTTAATATTCACATATATTTCAAATTTATAAATAAAATAATTATTACTGTTACCTAATAAAGTTTTAAAATACGAACTTAAATTTTTATAGTAATAATATTATAAACCACACATATTAGATAATATATAACATCAAATTATATTAATATATTGATAACATTTATTGCATAACATAAAATATTTTAGTATTAAAAAACCTGTACGGTTGTGGGTCAAGATCTAGTTAACGGTTTAATAGACAAACTAGATTTTGACCCACTCTTTTAAAAGCACGAGTATAGTTTTACCATTTTGATAAAATTTATTTGAATTAATTATTAAACCCAAAAAATTTAAAAATTGTTCTATTAATATCTAAAATGTTCTATTATAATGTTGATTTTCACGTAGTGTTTACATATCTGACACATACCCATAGTTGAACCGGTGCATCCTATAATGAAAATTTTATTAACTAAAAATTTGATAAAACCCGGTAAATATCTTAAAACCCGATATTAATCTGTAATATGATATTCGTTGATCCGGTTAAAACCCCATAAAACTGATTATATTTTTAAATTAGTTAAATATCTCATATTTTTAATAATAAAGAAAATTATTTTTTTGGTAATTTCTTTAATGATATTTTTCTTGTTGAAAATGAAACAAAGGTAATAGAAAAAAACAAAATCTATTCATATAACAATATTAGTTTCTTTTTGTTATTAATAACAATTTATAAAAAAATGAAATGACATATCAATATTATGGATACAATGACATAGTAAATAATAATTTTAAATCTTTTCTCGCTAAATAATATTATGCACGAAAATATGATATTAAAATTAAATAGAAAGTATAATTTTCATAAAAAAAAAATTATTATTAATCACAAAATAGGAAAATTTATCAGTTACAATAAATATAGGAAATATTTAGTTGTTTAGTTAATTGAAATTCTAAAATAAAGAGTGGTATTTTCTTATAAATATGAGGAAAATCTAAGAAAATAATCCAAAATTTTTAAAATAGGATCTTGCTTTAATAGTATAGATAATAATATTTTGTTTTGGTTTCAGTTCTCTCGTGGTAATGTTGCTTATGTTTGTTTCTTATTTCGCCAGAAATTCATAACTAGAAGAAAAATAATAATCTGAAACTACAACCTATTGACAAAGTTTTTTTTTTTTATTTCAGTTAACCTACTAGTTTAAATCAAACTTATTTCCAAACTTTAGAAGAGTTTGTTATAAATGTTTTCTGTTTTTATTTTTATTTGATTTTCAATATATATAATATTAGTTTTTACATTAGGAAGTTTTAGTATCTTTTGGATATGTAATTTGAATTTCCCTTGGCCATATGCTAGCAGATACACGCTTGGAGAGTCCTAGAAAGCATCACTAGCCAAGACTCATCTGGGAAAGAAAATACATATTTCTATTGGGTTCTTTCTGTACAAACTAAGCATCTTCATACCAGATTATTAATATTTGGACTGGTCATCAGAAAAAAGCGTACTAGTAACTACCATAAAACCATACAAGAAAACGAAAATAAAACATGGTGGACGGGGCAAACACACGAACGAAGATTAGAGAACTAGAAGAAAAATCATTTTGATTGACTAAGGCCTAAGTAGTCACACTAATGAATTCCAGCCAGAGAAGCTGTCTCACTAGAATACATTTGGAATTTTGAATAATGCAACACACCCATTACCCAGAGTCCCATACTAATAATACTACCAAATACTATAAAATATCCAACTTCATATATACATAAATAGAGAGAGACAGTTATATAGTCTACATAACTCACATGTTGCTGTACTTTTAACTTTGAAGTTTTAAACCATTTAAGTTGGTCTCTACGTAAAAAACAAAATAAGTCCTTCATCTAATTCATTCGAAACAAAACTACATTTATGTCTTCTCTATTCACTGTCCTTTCTTTTTCTGAAAAGAAAAAAATGTCAATATGGTAAAAGCAATATAGAGACCTTTTGGATGCTGTCTTTAAATCTTGGGTAAATGATTTGGATTTTCGTCGCAATGTTGTCTTAAGTCATTTCTCCATTAATTTACATTATTGTTTTCCATTTTGTAGCTCTTAACCATTGCTTAGCTATAGTCTTCAGCTGTATTTATTTTCATCTTGTATGTTAAACCAGTAGATGGGAACTCATACCAGATGTTGACTTAATTGCTTAATACTAATTCCTAAGATTTGTGTTCTCACATTGATATCCGCCTGATTGTTTTTTCTTCACTAGATTACTTATAAAAAAGGTTTGGGTTTTGAGTCACAGAAATAACAAAATTATGCAAATTAATGGAGAAATGACTTACAAGAAATCTTCATTATAAGGAAAACACAAATTAGAAAATAAGTGAAAGCTCTAATCATATTACCTTTGATTTAGCACTTCCTCTTGTCTGAACCTCGCTTGGACAATCTGCTTTCACCACTGGTGAATGGGGACATAAAATCGAAACAAAATAATCTATGAGAGAGCATAATCTTAATGAAAATTCCATATCCACATCTTGAAATCCTTTCACCTCAGTTTTAGTTGGATATGGATTAATAGGAGTTTGATTATTTTGCGGAACCTTGATGGAAATTGGACAACAACAGATTAATTTAGAGAATTTTGTAAACTTACAGCAGGAAAGCCTAAAAATCTCCTGACTTAGTGATTTTTCTAGTAACGCAACTATTAGCCGCAAGTCGAACCTAAACAGTAACTAACAAAAAAATGTTTACTTGAACCAAATTGCACCAAGAACCGGTTTTGTTTGTACCGTTTAAATCCTCTTATAACCTTGGATACAATGGAGACATGATCCTGAACAGCAGCACGTCCTCCTAAAGCTACATATACATAGTCACCAATTCTACAGAAAAGTTTGACTTTTTTTGAGTCTTAGTAAACTTCACAAATTGTTTCTTTCAATGGAACCAAAAAGGGTTTCAGACAGTGCCGTCCCGGTAAATATTGTGGCCTAAAGAAATTTATATATAGTTACTTATAGTTATTTGTAAAATACAGTTATACACACATATATATAATACTAATTTAGTTTCATAAACTAAATCAGATGAACCTGATACTATTAGTATATATTTTATCTATAACATTTAGATTTTTAACAAACAGAAAAAAAATAGTTTGGTTGAACAACTATGACTTTTAATCTTAAATAACACAAAATAATAAATAACACATGTGAAAATAGAATAAAATCTAAACATTACAAAGTTCGACATAAACCATATTATTGAGGATTGCAGACTCTAACTTAAACAAGAAGTCAATATACTGTCTTTAACCATTTAACTATAATCAATTTCAGAAAAATGTGGCCTAAAAATTTGTTAATAACTTTTGTGGCCTAAAGCTTTAGCTTTACTTGCCTTATAATAGGGACGGGCCTGGTTTCAGATTTTGTCAGTTATTCAACTATTGATCCCGTACTTGCCCATCTGCAAGAAAAACGAGAAAGTAAATAAGAGATCACATTATGACTTTATTGGTTTTTCATTTTTAAAGATCGCAAGGTACGTCAGCTGCAACGCCTTTAAAAGAGTCCGAGGTATGTTAAATGAAACATTCGCTTCAAGTTCCCAAAAATTCCCAAACATTCACATACCCCCGAAAATTATTTTTACGTAGAAATTGCCATAAGTTCCCAATATCTCAGGGCCGACCCTACCTTTAAGTGGTGAATTTAAGTTGAAGTTAGCCAGAAAACAAGAGATAAGAGACTAGCCGGGTTTGACGAGAATGCACCATACCAAGTGCAGTCAAATGTCAAAATTAGGTTTATGTATGATATGGAAGTAACAAGACTCAACTTATAAGCCTTTGTTCAAAAAAAAAAAGACCCAACTTATCCCCTCTTTTTTAACACCGACCCAACTTATCTTAACTAGTAGAGTTTTGAAGCAACTTTATGAGATATTCTACGCGAAAGTATTGGCAAACAGTGAAATGGTATTGTGTATTTACAGTGTTATATTTTTTTGTTCTTCCACTGGCATACTGTTAAAAAAAACCGATCCTTCAAACTTCCATTTTTCACACTCCCAAATTCAAGAGATGGACTAACTTAGTAGCATTCCTCCTGATTTTTCTCCTTAAACCTCCTGATCTTCTCACTCTCAATTTTTTTAAAGAGAGTAATTTGGGTCTGTCAACTTAAAATGCCGGCCCATGTGTCAACTGTTGGATCTAATATGTATTGATTAATGAGGTAAATAAAGGATGGGAGAGCGTCATCTGGATTAGGTTTATAGAGCTGTGGTCAAGCCTCCGAAAGGTGTGTAGATTATTGTTGAACCGGAGACTATGGAGAACGAAGAAATTTAGGTTTAAAGTTAGGGTTTTGAAGACCATAAGAGTAACACTGTTCACTTCTTTGGTAGCTTCACTTGGACTATTGGGATCCGAAATGTTACCATTCCTTTGTCTATTAAAACTAGTGTTTCCAAGCCATAGATAAAGAATGATTCCTCACATTTGTCATATATGGAAATAAAAAGATAAATTATTAGAAAATTATAAATTTATTCTGTGTTTGACTTTAACTGAAACACATCGACAATAACAAACTGAGACTAAGATTCTCTCTCCCCACCAACAGACTTCTCTCTACATGAGAGGAAACTATATAACACATGTCTTTTAACCATTATTACACAAACAAGAAAATAAAAAAATTTGGTCGGATATTATCAGAGAAGAAGGAAAACTAATGGGCGGAGGAAACATGTTTCAAGAACCAGTAAGAATTAGCCGTAGGAGATAAGTAAGAAAAGAGAAGGAAGAAGATGAAGTCAATGAAACCTTCAAATCTCCAAATCTGGAAGCTGAGAGACGTAGAAGAGAGGAGCTACATGGTCGTCTTATGGCTCTGTGATCTCATGTTCCAATTGTCACCAACGTAAATCCCATATCTCATTTTTTCCATATATTTTGAATGTGTATGTGTTTTGGTGATGTTTGTTGTTTTTTTTTTTTATCTTTTTCCAAGTGACCAAAGCGAGTATTGTTGAAGACGCAATTACTTACATAAGAGAGCTTCAAAAGGAAGTTGTTAATCTTACAGAGAAGCTTCATGAAATGGAAGAAGCTCCTCTTGAGCTTCATGAACAACAAATGGATCAAATTATAAAATCTGAGCATGAAACTATTGATTTAAAAGAGGAGATGAAGAAACTCGGGATCGAGGTTTATTTTTAAAATCTTTAGTGCGTTCTTGATTTTTTGTTTATCTTTCTTGATGATTTTATTTTTGTTATAATGGTCAGGAGAATCTGCATTTGTGTAAGATTGGAGAGGAAGTTGTGGTTGAAGATCACAACATAGAATAAACCTAGGATCTTTACTAAACTCATGGAGGTTCTGAGGTTTATGGGATTGGAGGTCATCGATATTACTCTAACTACTTCATGTGGAGAAACTCTTATTTGTTCCTCTGTTCAGATAGATCAGGGACTATGTGACGGGGACTCTGTTGATCTCGAACAGATCAAGGAATTTCTGTTGGAAGTCATGAGAAACAATGCATGAGTAACAAATCTCTAGATTTTTCCATCGAATAAGATTTACATTGTTTTAATCCAAAAAAAAAATATTCAGAACGTAACTTCATCTTATCTCATTTGTTTTTACAATATGTTGTTAACCATCCTCTGTCTCTGTCCCAGTGCAGTGCAGTGTTGTTTAGACCTTCTGGTCGAGACAGAGGCTTCTCTTTTCAGTTTCATGTAATGCTTGACACTTGAGAAACTTTAGATTATTGCAGTTTCTCATAAGCTTTTAGTGATCTACAAGAATGTGATTTAGGATTTAGGGATCTAAATCTGGACATCACATGAAAAGATTGAACTTACAATAGGGCTTTATCATAAATGGGTTTTTAATATGTCAACTCTTGAATTGACCCGAATTACTTATAATTATATCAGCAGCTTAGCCCAAGTGATGTTTATTTGTGTAAGGTCTGAAGTTGGAAACTAGGTTTTTAATTTAAAAATTGAAAATATTAAATCTTTTATATATTAATTGAAAAATATTTGACTCCATGTACTATACGCACCAACACTCAATCCACCCAGACTTTCAAGCTCCTCAATTAGCCTCCTAAACTATTTTTTTCATCAATTTTCCCCAATTTTGAACAGATTACACAAATCATGTTTAATAACTAAAAACACGTTTAATTAAAAGCGATTGCCCAATTAAAAACCCGATTACACATAACCCGACTTTAATTTTCGTTTATATCCGATCCAAATTGAAATTCATGAAAAAAAACACGGGGGAAAAAAACAAAACCAATTTGGGGCTTAGAGTTCTTGAGTCTAGGATTCTTCAATGATAATGGAGGACGATGGAGGTTTGATTCTAGTTTCTGTAGATTTGGAGATGCATGATGGAGATAATTGGGTTCCAATTACTATAGATGCCTGTTACTACAGATGAAGAAAGTGAAAATCAAGAGTGGAGTATTCTTGTTACTGCAGCTTCGCCAATGGAGGAGGAGACAAATGTAAACTTAAGTTTTGTTCCCAAGGAGATGGAAAACGAAGGAGATGAGGAATATTGGGAGTATGAAATCGGGAAAAAGCCAAGAAAGTCCAACGAAGGAGGTGAAGAATGGGAGTATGAAATCGGGCAAAAGCCAAAAAATTCAAACGGAATTGAAGAAGAAGAAGAGCTGGAGGATCAGTATGAGCTTGAAATTGAGCAATCAGTGACAGATTTTGTGGATGAGGAATTCATTCCGAGGAATACGATTCTTGAAAGCGACGATGAAGACGATGATGACTTTTATCCGAGAGACAGAAAACGCGAAATGTCAGAGGATAAATTTGATGTGGAAACAGTTTTCTTCTCTGGTTTTGAGTTCAAAGAGGAAGTGTTACATTATGCTTTGCGAAAAGATCGGAATATAGAGCAAAGTAGATGGGATAAAACGAAGCTTAGCTTTAAGTGTGCGATGAAAGGAAAGTGTAAATGGAGGGTTATTGTGCTTTTGATGAACCCACTCAGAAGTGGTTGGTGAAGACTAGGTACATATATCACAGCTGTACACCAAATGGAAAGTGCAAACTGCTAAAAAGTCCAGTAATAGCAAGGTTGTTCCTTGATAAACTGAGGGAGGATGGCAATTTAATGTCTGGGAAAATTCAAGAGATAATCAAGGAGAAATGGAAGCTAATACCTTCAAGGAATCAGTGTCAGCGAGGAAGAACTTTGGCTTTGAAATGGCTTCACCGGGAGTATGCAGACCAATTCGCACATCTTCGAAGTTATGTGAGTGAGATTCGAAGAACCAATCCAGGTACGAGTGTAGTCCTTGAAACCCTTCCTAGTGCTGCTGGAGAAGATATGTTTGATCGGTTCTACGTTTGCTTCGAGAAGCTTATAAGCTTGTGGAGGGGAACTTGTAGACCTATTATAGGTCTCGATGGAACATTTCTCAAGGCTGCAGTGAAAGGCATATTACTTATTGCTGTAGGACATGACGGAAATAACCAGATTTACCTGTTTACGTGGGCTTTGGTACAAGATGAGAGAGCTGATACATGGCTCTGGTTTATCAAGCAACTCAAACGGGATCTGGAACTTTGAGATGCAGAGAAGTTTGTACATCTATTGTACAGCTCAAAGGTAACATAATTCACCCTTTAAATGCATTGTTTTATCCTATATTAATTGTGAATGTTTGAAATTTTATAATTATAATTGCAGGGTCTCATAAGCGCAACTGAGTCCGAGTTACCAAAGGCTGAGCACAGAAGGTGTGTTAAACACATTGTTGAAAACTTGAAGAAGAAGCACATGAAGAAAGAGTTTTTTAAACCTATGGTATGGAATCTAGCTTGGAGCTACAATACTACTCAGTATCAAGAGAACCTAACAAAGATGCAGAACTATAGTATGTCACTCTTTGATGATGTTATGAAACTAAAGCCGAAAATCTGGTGTCTGCCTTTCTACAAGTTTGGCAGCTGTTGTGAGGACGTTGATAACAACACCACTGAATCATTCAACGCCACCATTACTGGAGCTCGAGCAAAGGCGGTTGTACCTTTGTTGGAGACCATCCAAAGGCAAGCCATAATCAGAATTGCGAAGAGAAAAAAGAAGTCTCTTAGGCGCAATGAGAGGTTTACCAAATATGTGGTGAAAATGCTCGAGTCTTAGAAAGAAGATGCTGACAAGTGTACAACGACTCCTGGAAGTCATGGTGTGTTTGACATACGTCTTTCAGGACAGACATATGACGTAAACACGAATAGGATGAATTTTACATGCGGGAAGTGGCAGATAACTGGTATACCATGTGAGCATGCGTATGGTGCGATGATAGATGTTGTCTTAGATGTTGATGACTACGTTTCTGAGTTCTTCTCAACAGATATATGGCAACACACTTATAGTGAGTCTATCAGCACGGTTAGAGGTCCATGTTTCTGGATGAAAAAGAGTAAGTACAAGTTGATTGTAGAAACACCCAACCCTACACTTCATGGTAAGAAGAAAAACAACAAGAAAAAGAAGTATCCAAGTATGAAAGGTAAATATGAATCACCAAAGAAGAAGAAGAAGGAAGTAGAGACTCTTGGAAGGAAAGGTTGCACCATGCATTGTTCTAAATGTGGAGAGTCTGGTCATAATGTTAGAGGCTGCAAGGTACAACCGAAGAAAAAGATCAAGACAGAACCTAAAGAGAATGTATTAGCTAACCATTTCACTGAATTAACTATACTTGTACTGAATTTTGCTATTAATTTCTAACCATTTTATCTTTGTTTTAGGAACAATGAAGCACTTCTCAAGGAGAAGGGATGACACAGCAATCTCAAACAAGTGAAGACTAAGGAGGAAGATGAAGTTTAGGATGTGGTTTTGTGCGGTTATGCTATTACAAGTTGTTTTCCCTGTTTTTTTCTAACTTGTAATAACTCTAGGTGCGGTTTATATGGATGTTTTCCCTGTTAAACAGAATGTTGTTATGTGTTTCAAACTCAATTTGTGTTCAACTACTTCGTTGTGTTTAAATTTTAGTGTTTGATGGCTATCTTACTACTTTTTTTTGTTAAGAGATGATTAACAAATGATAAACCCAGAAAATAGCTTAAGGTTTGCAGTTACAACATCAGTCTTGTATCATTCTCAGACACACAGTTACAACATTATCCATCATTCTTCTCTATTACAAAGCTTTTCACAAAGCCATTTAATTGTTCCAACGCAGCCAACAGATACATCTTCTTTTGTCTTTATCATCTTTAATTTCTCGACATGGTCTTCAAGCCTACTCTGTTGCTCATGAAGCATATGAATTTCATCAAGAAACGCCTCACCCTCCCATTTGAAGAGGTGATCTTCTTGTTTTTTCTGCAATAAAGCCAAACAATTTATCAATCCTAGTCACCTCATCTAAACAAAACCAAACAACTTTACCTGTATAGCGATTACACATTGATAGAATCTCCAGTATGGATTCTCCTTCGTTTTGGACACAAAAATCTCAAGGTTTCTCTCACACCAACAGTGTGTCGGAACTCCATTAACATGTCGCCTAGAAGTCAACCCGTGATTTCTTATCTCTTACATACCAATTTGATTTCTGAATCTCTTCTCCAAAACTCACACGAAGAACCCTAAGCCCCAAATCGATTTTTTTTTCCCGTATTTGTTTTTTTCTCCGACTTTCAATCTGAGTCAGATATAAGCGAAAATTAAATTTGGGTTATGTGTAATCGGGTTTTTAATTGGGCAATCACTTTTAATTAAACACGTTTTTAGTTATTAAACGTGATTTGTATAATCTGTTTAAAATTGGGGACAATTGATGAAAATAATAGTTTAGGAAGCTAATTGAGGAGCTTGAAAGTCTAGGTGGATTGAGTGTTGGTGCGTATAGTAAAGGGGGTCAATTGACGTCAACCCAAGTTATAACCTTAAGTTTGTATTAACTAAAAAATAATTCATCCTACGTGGCACCTTTCTATGCCTTCTATTTCAATTTAGAAGGATTCTAGAACACCTTATATAAAACATAGTTTTAAAGTAAAGTCTGTTGGTCTCATATAAGACATATGAAACTAATAACATATCAAATTAAATCTTCTATATATTCTTTCCTTAAATAAATGATTTTAAATAATAAAGATTTATTAACATATATATGACTATTAATTATTTTAAATAATAAAGATTTATTAACAATCTGTATACTTTATATATTTTTGTTTAATTTTTTATTATTAAAATAAATTACACAACTACACTAATCATATAATAAAAATTTAGATTTTTATATATGTTGTATTTTACAATTTTCAAAACGAGTATAAATTACTAAAATTGTTTAAAATCTCACATAAAATTTTGTGTCTAATTTTTTCTCTATAATAAATTACAATGATTATAAAATCATATGATTAAATAATTTTATTTTAATAGGTGTTAATATATATATATATATATTGATATATATATATATAAATATATATATCGTATGAATAAATAATTTTATTTTAAACATAACTATA